TTAGATCTTTGAATATTGTTTTTATTGGATTTAATATTGATTTTGTTATCTGTAAATTCAAATCAGACTAAATATTATTTTCATATACATATGCACATTCATAGCTCTACAATCTGTCGATACCTGTATCTTGGCATTGCACAAGGTCATGTTTTTCTCTGACTGTTAATGACGTCTTTACACTAAATCCATTGGATGTTGGATGTGTACTGATTGATATTTTAGTCCAAGATGCATGATATTTTTTATTAGTTGTTATTGGCTTTGAACTAGCTGTCAGTAACTGCGAGTACTCTCAGATCTGTACTTAAAGTCTTTTTGTTGTGGGGATGTATAAGTACCCTGCCACGTCCACTCCGTGTTTTGGTTACTTGTTTTTGATTTGTATCGATCTGATGAGCTAAGCCCTTTTCAACTGATTTTTATAGTTTGTTCATATGTTGTACTGTTACACCACTGTCCCAGGTTAGGGGAGGGTTAGGCGCCCTCTTACATGTTTAACCCCGCCACATTCAGTATGTTCCTGTCCCAAGTCAGGAGCCTGTAATTCATTGGTTGTCGTTTGTTGATGTATATCATATTTGGTTTTCGTTCATTATTTTGTACATTAATCAGGCCGTTAGTTTTCTCGTTTGAATTGTTTAACCTTTGTCATTTCATGGGCCTTTTATTGCTTACTATGCGGTATGGGTTATACTCATTGTTGAAGGTTGTACAGTGACCTATAGTTGTTAATTTCTGTGTCATTTTGGTCTCTTGTGGAGAGTTGTCTCATTGGCAATCATGCCACGTCTTCTTATTTTCATATTTAGTTCTTCTTTCACTAGATTATGTAGGATTCTATTATCAGGTATAGTTATATATCACTCTTCATATGAGTCACGTAAAAGCTTTTTTGATATAAATAAACTTCATAATTTCACTGTCTTTCTGATTTAATGCTATTTCTATTGATTCTTTTATCCGATGGGGTCTTTCTGTTCTACTTCTGAAGTAGAAATGACTTGTTTCCACTTAATTTGTTCCCAACTTGTTATTTAGACTCCAGATTGTCTCGTTGATATATGTTATTTGTTTTGTTAAAGTGGTATCCTCTATTGTACAGCTGGATGGATTTGTTTGTCCTGTATTTATATTCTACTGTTGTATTGATAAGATTGGGCAATTTTCTATTTTAATCTTTGCCTGTGTATTATACTTTCCAACTATATGTATTGCTTTTTTATATTCAGTTAGAAAGTCATTCGTTGTTCAATAGCTGTTATTTCGTAATCTTATGAATTTGCCAGTTTTTTTTTAATTAAATGACATGTCCCGGCCGACAGATATATCATAACCTTCCCATGTCTCTTTATAGTTTATATAATTCTCTCCTCAATCAAATCTACTAGTTGACGAGTTCGTGCTCCTGATTTACATCAGATGCACATGAAAATTCACTGTTGGGACTGTTATTTCTGAGGGTAAACCCTTAACTGTTTGATACATGTACTAGGATTGGCTTGCAATTTTCCTATTTATCACATGGGGTTGGTATCTTATCCTGGTGGTACTCATAAAACGAGACATTACAGATATTACAACACAGCACAGCAGACACAAATAATGTGAAAGAATACTCTAACTGCGCCTTCTTCTCTTCAACAAGGCATTTATGTAATCCTGTTGACACTTCATTCACAAGAAATGTATATTTCTTCAATGTTCTGAATGGACGGTACGTCAAATAATAAGTTTTATCTAAAGGGACATCCGACAACAACTACATCAATCGAACACCAAAAAGCTATTTGGACTTTAATCCATCTTATTCTCAGCGTTTTTTTTAGCTTATTTCTCACACTTTGATTGCTGGAATTTTCTTACGTTCATTTCTTTCTGCCCGACAGTATATGCGATTGAATTTTAAAAGTTCCTCCACTTGTCAAACAAAGAAAGGGCTTAGGCATTCGGCGAAATTTGAAAGTCAGTTTTACATTTATGTATGAAACTCGTTTCAAAACAGAGTTTTCTTCTAACTTAATGTACATTTTGTGTATTCTGTTAGATAAGATAAACTAAGTCTGAGCATTCACAATTGCATTGACAGTCGCAGAGTAATGCACTAGTATCTAAATTTCGTTCAGTACTAATTCCCAAGTATTCTATAGTTTGCGTAGAGCTCGCAGTTATTAATAATTTGCGAGAGTTCAGTCAAGTGATGGTCCTCCGCTGAGGTAAGAGTAGTACGTGAATGATCTATCCGCATAAGAGACAAATTTGTTTGACGTTAACCTGGTTACATTGGAGAATAAATGTATACCAGTTAGGAGTCGAAGCTTGTTTGGTAGACGCTGAATGTCTTTGGCAAACGGACATCTGAATGCTTGCCAGAACACTGAGAAATTGACCAATTTGTAATTAGATGTTGATATAAATAAAAATACTTTTGTAGTAGATAGACGTAGTATCAAGATTTGCGATAATAGGATTTTCGTGAACCAACTGTCCTTTATGGCTGTTAATGTTATGATTTGTCTTTCTATGGAGTCGCCTTGTGATATACTAGTATATGTTCCCAATGCCATTTTATGAATTTTACTGATGACTGGAATTGTACCAGACAAGATATATACATCCATGTCTTTTATGTTGTTGGGTATAGATGGAATGTGAAGGATGCTTTTGCTATAGAATATTTTAATTGCCTCAAAACATAAGCTTTTAACCGAGTACATACAAACATATACGACAACACAACACTTTCATGCTTGAACATTAAAAATAGAGAAAACCCACATAAAAGTAAGCACACACACGACAAAGTAAATTATATATGCTAGCATAAGCAATAAAAGAGCACAGTTGTGTAGTGATTCTACCTCACGCTATTGGGATATGGGTACTTAGTCAAATCTAGTTTTAGTATGTTATGAATACATATGATAATTTAAGTCAAATTGGTGATCATGAATTTGACAGCTAATGTCCCTTTGATATTGGCAAGGACTCAACTGCATTTGTTTCATATATCAAGGACGTAGTTATAAATCTTTGCATATATACATTCTAAGGCGTACAGAGTAAATTTTCATAGTACAGTGATCAACTTTAAATGTTCTTAAAATAATAAATATGAATAAGAAGATGTGGTATGAGTGCCAATGAGACAACTATCCATCCAAGTCACAGTGTGTAAAAAGTAAACAATACTTGTTTCACTGCTCTTTTTCCTGTAACACAAAAGGACATTTGCGCTTTTTTACATGTAACACAAAAGGACATTTGCGCTTTTTTATCTGCAACACAAAAGGACATTTGCGCTTTTTCACCTGTAACACAAACGGACATTTGTTCTTTTTTTTACCTGTAACACGAAAGGACATTTGCGCTTTTATTACCTGTAACACGAAAGGACATTTGCGCTTTTTTTTACCTGTAACTCAGACTTTGATACACTTTTACAAAATTTTGCTCTTTTAATCTATCAAAGTTTACCTGTAAACGGAATTATTATTTTGTACATATACAACAAATTTAAGAGTGTATGTGGAATGTTTTAGAATTTTATGGATGGAACATTCAAATGTTGCCATAAATTCTCTAAACAGATTTATACGATAAATCATGAAATTAAAAATTGAAACTGAACTCGTCCTGTGCTCATATTTTTGCCTGGAAAGTCCGAGAACTATTCCATTTACAATCGTTGTGTATCTCTTTTGCCTGGAAAGTCCCAGGAACTCTTCCATCTACAATCATTGTTTATCTCTGTTGCCTGGAAAGTCCGAGGAACTCTTCCATCTACAATCGTTGTTTATCTCATTTGCCTGGAAAGTCCGAGAAATACTGTCCATCTACAATCATTGGTTATCTCTTTTGCCTGGAAAGTCCGAGGAATACTTTCCATCTACAATCATCGTTTATCTCTTTTGCCTGCCATGGAAAGTCCGAGGAACTCCTCCATCTACAATCATTGTTTATTTCTTTTGTCTGGAAAGTCCCAGGAACTCTTCCATCTGTAATTTTTGTTTATCTCTTTTGCCTGGAAAGTCACAGGAACTCTTCCATCTACAATCAATGCTTATCTCTTTTGCCTGGAAAATCCGAGGAACTCTTACATCTATAATTTTCGTTTATTTCTTTTGCCTGGAAAGTCCGAGGAACTCTTTCATCATTGTTTAGAAGTCATGGTTGTTATGAGGAATTTGAAGTGTACTGACACAAGTATGTTGGCAAAAGATTCAGTCATTAATAACTTGACAGGCACTTGAATATAATTTTTTAACATATATACCTGACTCATTTATATAGAGTTCAAATGTCCTGAAAATTGCAGCGAAAATGTCCTATTGAAAAGTGCAAACGTCCTGTGGCGAATATTGTGAACAAATTCAAATGTATCAAGTTCCATCTGGATAAAATGAAAATAACATGTTATAAATTTGATGCATTCGAAGTCCTTTTCATTATTTAACTTCATCAAAAACGCTCAAAGCCTGTATTTAATCTGGAAGAGTTTACCTGACGTTAGCCTCATGTTTATGGTTTATTCATATTTACTGAAATGTTTGCAATACCCGTAATCAGAAACGTAATAATATTTGGATCTTAAAAATGGATGGAATTTATCACTTCGCAAGACAAGGATGTTCTATATTCCACCTACTGTTAGCAAATACGATTGAAATTTATATGGCTGTATTCGAAATGTAAAAAAAAAATGTGATATTTATGTTTTAGTATTTAAAAAATCTTGATGTATTTCCTTAAATAAGTGTTTTCAAATTTAGGTATATTTAATGAATAAGATGATATAGATAGAGGATCAATCGATATTAACAAGGCAATGACAGGTGCACGCCGTTAATATTGTATTTACTTCGTTACTTGTCCAAAATTTACCTTAAGTGTCAGAACTCTTGTCCTTGCTAATCATTTACCGTCATCGTATAATTATTACTTGTAATAAAAGGATAATTGCTTGGACTTGATGTTTGTTTGTGAATACACACCAACGATAGACCATGTGCTGAGAAAGCAATACTACGACTTTAGTGTTTGGCTCTTGGTATTTTCGTTGTTTATTTTCTAATCAGGAAACGGTCATGACGGGTCATTTTTTCATATTACTGGTATGTATTTATAACGTAATTAAATTAATTCTATAAATGCATGTCACACATTTTAAAAATGTTTAGGTTAATGGTCTATTTAAAAAAATGATTACTTGTACATGCTTTTTTACTTTAGGGTGATATTAAGTGCTAATAGAAATATGTAGTATTACATTTCAACAAAGAACACTTTTTTTTCTGGATTTGTATCATAATAATAACAGGAAAGTTTGGATAGTAACTATTTGTTGGTCATGTATATATTCCATACACTTCAAGAATAGATTCTATGCTGCATGAAAGCAACTAAACTTAAAGACGCCTTCCCGTCTTGTAAAGCTATTTGCTCATCTAAAAACAAAATAGATTAAAAAATCAGAGTCCGAATGACGTGAAGTTCTCTCATACTTCAGCAATCGTAAAATCTCTCCGAAATCAGAAATCAGAATGATAAATTAATTCATATCATGTAAATTTACAATTTATTTAATGGTCTGAATGAATTGTTTTTAATAGAGTAGGTAACTCCTACTTGCCTGTAGGCCTAGTTTTATTAGTGCATTAGATGATCTCAAGATCTTATAATTTGCTAAGAGTATATCCAGAAGTGATCTAAGAATGATTAGCCCTTAAGGGTACTCTTATCTTTCTCGTGGCACTCTCAGAGTTTTAATCTTATCAATCGGGTATATCAAACGTTGATAATAAACTTAAGATCGTCTCAGTATACTCTTAGCAAATTTTAAGCCTATCAACAATCTTTTTTTACTAATTATTTATGAAAAAAATTTAAGAGAAGTGAGTCATGAGTACCCTTGTAGCCCACTTAGTTTAGAAATTGGCACTTGCTGTCTCTTAAAGTGTAAATTTTGATTTCGATGTCCACTTCGATTTGAAATTCATGTTACATTTTTTTGTCAAGTCAAAGTTCGAATCTCCTGTTATTAGTTTTTTCACCCTTAATATCGAGTTAGAGCATGAGTCCGAGTTTGATTTTGAGTTTTCCCTGATATAGCCACTGAATGTTAATTTTTTTGGTGGATAGTTGTTTCATTGGCAAGTATACCACATCTTCTTTTTATATCAGTAATATTAGGGACTCACTTCGATAACATATTTGCCATGTTTCATCTATCTACAGTAAATGAGTCAATGATTTGTCCAATTTTACTTAAAAAGTTACATTGGAACATTCTAACACAGGATTGAAAAGATTTTAGTTTCACTCTGCAATGATGTATGCTAGTATTTTTTTTAATCTTTTTTTATTGTTTCCATGTGCGTGCATTAATCTTCCGTCGTGAATTGATAAAAAATGTTCTTCCTTTTTCCATTTGATCGAAATATGATGTATTTCTGTTGTTGCATTGCTTCAAATTTGGTTTTATTCAATTGTGACTGAATTTTGGTCGTTTGTGGTACATTCCTTTGTGTTCTGTAAGTAAATCAAACCATACACTTTCGGGCGATATTTTGGATTTTTATTGAAGGATTAAACGCCTTTATAAAGGAATATATTGGTGCATAAATTGGACCAATTCACTCGACTTTTATGATATGTTTGTGAGTGACTTGGTCCAGTTTATACACCAATAAATTCCTTTAAAAAGGCAATTATTCCTTATAATTCTTTAAAATTGGAAATAAGGAATTTAATTTCCCCACTCGTAACCTCTTTCACACGTGAAGTGTTTATTATTGTCATTGAATTGGCCTGGCGCACGACGATATATATTTTTTGGTTACGGCAAAAAAAAATGTACTCTATGAGATTTGCTATCTGATTAATCAATATCTTATTATCATTTAAATGAATATTTTGTTTATATTACTTCATTTAAGGATGTTTGCTACTCTGTTTCAAAATGACAAGCTTTTTAAAAGACTGTTATGAATTGATAGTTTATTTATAACGGAACTTAAAAAGAAGAAAACAGAATGATAGGTCCGTGTGCTTGTTTTTGAGATATAAGCCATTGAAAATTTGGCGGGAAATGATTCTCTCTAGACTTTTCATGAAATTAACATTGGCAGCATTTTCTTTCAAAAACTATGAAAAAATAACAAGGTTTTTATAAGATTTTCAAATATGACTTTTAAAACTATATGTAATAAAATTATGAAAAGAAAAGTAGGGCTTAATGGCCAAAATTTTAAATGGGTACTAGATGGATAAAACCAGAGGATTCCGAATATCTGACAAAAATTCAAAAACAAGAGGAGCGAACATCCTTAACGATGAACGCGAAGTGAAAATAAATATTTTTAACGTCAGTCGAGCCGGTTTGTGTTTCTATCGCCGCCATCTTGTTTACATTGGTTACAAAAAGTAGTTCTATCCAAAAATAAATATAAACTCAAGAGCTACTACCGGAAGCCTTCTCGACCAATCATTTAAACGTATTCCCTAATACTAGTATGCAAATCATATAAGAATTATGAAATGTTGTATTCATTTAGAGCTCATTAAATCCCATCCGTCGAAGTATCGAAAAACATATACATATACATATACATATTTCCGTTAAAAAATCAATTAAATTTGAAAAAAATAATACTTTTCACTTTAAATTTCAAATTCTAGAAATTAAGTCCTACTAATTTTGTTCAGAAATATTATGTAAATGCTGTGAACATTTCGCTCCCAAGGATGACTTGGTTATAGAAATATGGTGTCTTCTTCCCGTCGGCGGTAAAACACTTGCCAAAGTAGGGCGTCCGTTTGGCTGTGCGGGATGCATAAATACGCAGCCACGTCTGGTCAGAATGGGGACGTAAAATCCATTGCCTCATGTAGAGAGAGTGCCACGCCACAAAAGCAACATCTTCTCTAGAAAGCTGGCTGTCTCTAAGCTGATTATATAGAAAACTGATATTTGCATACTAGGACATGGAAAATGAAAAGACAATTTTTGGGGTTTAACATTACTTTTTTGGGGTTGACATTTTATAGAAACCTTTGAAAGACAAGTAATTTCTAAATCGCCTGTGTTTTTATTCTTTTGTCACTACGGTATAGGTTTAGTACCAATTAATAAGATGTTCTCGATTTTTTGTCGGAGCATTTTTGTTCATCCATTTTTTATTGACGTAGAAGTAGTTTTTGTTTACATCCGCAGTATCTGTTTCCTTCAAAGGATAAATATCGGAAAATTGGTAAAATATTTTGGACTTTAATCAGGAAAGAATCCATCAATATATTTCAAGCGATTTTCACCACATTAACAAATAACAATTATCCTTTCAATCAAAAGTGTTGCTATTTCGAGATTTTTTTTCTTGTGGCCATCTTATGCATTTTTCAGAATAACGTTGAACGTAGGTGTATTATAAGAGATATTATTGGCTCCTGAAATAAACAAATAAAATATGGAAGTAATTTATTGACTTAATTGATACCAGTATTACCAAATGAAATAATACAATGTGACACTCAAGTTATTACTTTTCTCCCCACAAATAATCATGGAAATATCCAATGTTCAATCAGGTTTGTGTAAATGTCTAATATAGGAACTGAGTTTGTCTGCCAAACTCTTACAAATAGTCTACAAAGCATCTGCTTTTATACAATAAATGAACATATAAAGATAATAAAGATGTGCATGTGCAAAGGATTTTTATTTTCCTTTACCAGTTATCGTGAAACTTACATTCAACTGTCAATGACTGCCGACTTCGGTAAATGTTATAAAATTGAGAATGGAAATGGGGAATGTGTCAAAGAGACAACAACCCGACCATAGAACAGACAACAGCAGAAGGTCACCAACAGGTCTTCAATGCAGCGAGAAATTCCCGCATCCGGAGGCGTCCTTCAGCTGGCCCCTAAACAAATATATATACTAGTTCAGTGATAATGAACGCCATACTAAACTCCAAATTGTACACAAGAAACTAAAATTAAAAATAATACAAGACTAACAAAGGCTAGAGGCTCCTGACTTGGGACAGGCGCAAAATGCGACGGGGTTAAACATGTTTATGAGATCTCAACCCTCCCCCTATACCTCTAGCCAATGTAGAAAAGTAAACGCATAACAATACGCACATTAAAATTCAGTTCAAGAGAAGTCCGAGTCTGATGTCAGAAGATGTAACCAAAGAAAATTAACAAAATGACAATAATACATAAATAACAACAGACTACTAGCAGTTAACTGACATGCCAGCTCCAGACTTCAATTAAACTGATTGAAAGATTATGTCTTCATCATATGAATATCAGGCACAATCCTTCCCGTTAGGGGTTTAGTATCATACCATCATAACATATATGAAAAAAGACTTATATTTCTGTAATTTGTATATAGCCTTGCTCCAAACACATATTTCCTCGACATTTTTGATGGGATGATTAGTATTAAAAACTCTGGTTAAAACATATATATCAGTCAAATATAGTCAAATATCTTTGATTTTAGTTCTTATTAATTTTTTGTCCATCCAATTAAAATGTCTTCATGATGAAAGATATAGCATGGCAAAAAACGGTGTCAAACATCATAAAATCAAAATACAAAATAAGTTAAAGGGAGAAAGTACTAAAGTTATGGTTTTAACTTAAAAAGTCATACTTGTAGCTATGTGTAAAATTTAAAGTCTTTTGTCGACTGTCCAGTCAGGATATAAGGAGGAAATAATGTATTGACATAATGGTCATGTTTGACATTTTCGGACGATTTTTATGTATGTCTTTGACAATCATATTTCATAGTGGACATAACAGATATATTTTTTTTTATAGAAACAATGATTGATTCAAATTACAGAAATATAAGTTAGTACAATACGTTTGACCCATTTTATCAATATAGGTCATAATGAACATACACTGAAATAGAAAAGGAAATGCATATTTTTGATTATTTGATTTTATAGTCTTAAACTATATTAAAAGTTTTACAAATCATTATACTGTTAAGAAAATGTTGAAATATTGTTGCAGTAAAAGGGAATCATATGCCTCGAATGCAACGCTTGAATATCTTTTATGTGAATGGATCTTACCAAGATAA